CTCTTAAGTGAAATAAATAGGACACACATGTGTAAATACCGAATAGTTTCTCTGGTGTGAAAAACTAAAAATGTAAATAAGGATCAAAATGTATAATTGATATTGTGAAATAGGAACAAAAGGTCTAAAGGAATAAGGGAAGTGGGAGAGGTAGAAGAAAGGAAAGAAGGCAAAAGAAAAATACGAGAAAAGAAAAAAATGGAAACAAAGTCTTTGTAAATAGGGAAGAGTGGAGGGGTTGAAGGGAGGGCAGGGGAATGGGGAAAAAATAAGAACAAAGATATATCATGTAAAGGTACAAGATCCTAATGATGAATGTAACTGTACTGTATATCTAAAATGTACCAATAAACTTAATGGGAAAAAATATCAGCAATTGCTCCTTCAGGGCAGGTATAGACTAAGCAGCTAACGTGTGATTAAAAGCTTGGCCAACCATTATCATTAACATATGGAGTTGCCCCTTACTTCACTTTATACTTAAGTATAAAAGGAATGAATTGCTAGTCCCAAATCTTTCCTAAACATGGTTAGGAGAACCACAAACTTACATTTTCCTCTAGCATACACTGAACAGTCAGAAATATTTCTATGTGAAAAATAACTGCACAGCAAAATAAGACTTGAAAGCTACTTCAAGCCAATTCCTCCATTTCACAGACAGGCCATGGGTCCTGACCAGCTAATCTGGGGCATGCTGGGATTGTCCTTTGACCATCAGTGTTCTTGTCACTCTACAGACATGAGGATTCCAAAAGGAAGGACAATTATATCAACACATGTTAGCCTTCCCTGGCAAAAACTAAGTATTTGAAAGCTGGTTTTGTGTGTGTGTGGGCATGCACTAGGGATTGAACCCTGGGGCTTGGATATGCTAAGCACACGCTCTTAAACACTGAGCTACATGCCCAACCTTGCATTGTTTTCTAAAGACAGACTTTTCTCTAAGAAAAGAGTAAAGAAGGTTAAAGCTCCATCTTTTCTTTCTTCTTCCAGTTTTTACTGGCCCTTTTTTTGATTAGTCTTAGGATTCTCCCCAGATTCAGATAAAATATCACTGTCTCCTGAGCTGTGATAATGAGCCGATTATTCATTTTCCAATGAGGCCAAAATAAAACTGCAAAAGGCATCTTAAAAGTTTTGGGCTGGGGTATAGCTCAGTGGTAAAGTGCTTTCCTAGAAGGTACAAGGCCCTGTGTTCAGTCCCTGGTACCATACAAAAAGTTTTTATTGTTCAAATTCTGAAACATTCAAAATAACATATAAAATGTACGTTATGAATAAGAAATAGCATCTTTTCATTGATGTCATTCTTTCTCCAAAAAAAATTCTAAAGACTATTATGTTTTCTTCCTACCTCACATTTCTCCACATTCTTCTGACCTATTTTTCTTTCTTCACCAAAGCAATCCAAAGCACATGAAAGTAATAGCAGCCGGAAAGCCTCTCCAAGACCCAGAGATGGAAAAGACAATATGGGGCCAAATTTCTTTAGTATATATACTTTTCCTATTAACTTGTATAATAGGTGTTTTCACAGTGTTGAGGAATGCTTTAGGCATACAATAAATATTAAGTGAAATAAAATCAAATGAATGTCTCAGCCCACCAGTTGAAACATGTACATTCTATTACATGCACTTGACAATAAGACATTGCTGTAAAAACACTTTAGTACAACTGGCATCATTTCCTCTAAACAAGGAGAGCTACCAGGCTCTTTAGGAAATTAAGAAAAGTGAAGGCTCAGGAAGAATGCAACAAACTTAAAGGGAAGGCTTAGCTTGTACCTGGGCAATGAGGACATGTTTCTTCCAGCCATTATGTCCTAGATTTATGAATAATGACTACAATTTTGTAGGCTGGTGGATATCTTTAAATTTATACAAAGTTCCTGTTCTATTCTTACCATTTGTGCCACCTTCTACACTGGAAAATTCCAAAACTTAGTAATGAACTTAATTAAAACGATAAGAAAACTTTTATAAACATTAAAGTGTTTGAGAAATACTTAAGTAATTCAACATAAAGTCTAAACTCTAGTTAGGTTCAAACCTCATGAAGACAAAGTAAAGATGAAGAGAAATTAGTCATCCTAAGTTTTTCATCTCCAGCAATCTCAGCCAAGTTTTTTTTCATTTTACTATAACAAACACTTCATTATTTGTGCTGCTAATAAATTACCACAGCTAATGAAGGATGGGAGAATCTTTGTGCCACTGAGAATAAATCTGGAAGTGTAATATTAAGTGGGGTATTATTTAATAAAAAAATGCCACAGCATATGCACAAAAAGATCAACATCCTATTTATCAGAGAAGGAAAAATACTTTTTAAACCATTTAAGCCAAAAGAAGAAGGAGAAGAAGGAGAAGGAGAAGGAGGAGAAGGAGAAGGAGAAGGAGGAGAAGGAGAAGGAGAAG